TATATATATATATATATATTACTTCTTTATGCTTCTGATATATTTCTCATTCATTATTTTTTTGCATAAAGTATTTTCAAATTTAAATACTTTCATGTTATGCAAAAATTAAAAGTTCTATGTAAAAATAATTGAAACACTTCTATACTAATACATTTTTTCATATTTCTCGAGAAGTAATATTTATAATTTCTGATGTGTTTAGATCATGCGATTTTTCATACATATCAATATTATTTTTATTATTATGTATTATTTTTTCGTCATCTTTTAACACATACTTGAACCCACGTGCCGGCGTTTCATACTTTGCCGGTAACATATATATTAGCACAATAAAGATTAAATTAATGAAAAGACAAGAAATATTATTTAACAAAATTGTTTTTAAAAGCTATTTAAAAAAATATTTATTTGAAGAAAAAAATTACTAAAAACCTAGAAAACAAAATAATGAAAACATATAATCTCGTCATCAACTCACGCGATTATATCCGCAAAAAGGAGTGCTTTCTAATATTGCATCAATATAGCCAAAGCAAAAAATATCAGTACAATACAATAGCGTGAGGAGCACTCAAATAAAAATTGAAACGAAAATTGAACACATTCAGTTAAAAATATACGAAATAAAATTATCAAACAAACAACAGAAAAACGCAGAACAAAACATTAAATGTAATCTACAAAGTGAGTAACGAATTTAAATAAACTTATACGTATCGGAATCTTTCAATAATGATTTAAAATGTTTTCGTAATGAGCCTGCTAGATTACAAGAAGCCCAAATAGAGATTAGAAGTGTAAATAGACGGATCTTTTATGGCGCGTTCGTACAGCAGTACTGAAGCGACTTCTTACTACATTACTGAAGCAAAGTTGATATTTTAGTTTCCTTGGATTGACCCTAAAATGGATGCTAGCAAGGTAATGATATTATATTGGATAATTTAAAGTTTATACAATTTAATTTTACAATTTCAATTATTTTAGAAATTTAGCATTTACTTAAAAGAAAACATGACGTGAACCGTTTGCACAAATTTTTAGCCACGGATTCACCAAATTTGATTTGTGCATTGTAAAAATATAAATTTAACTAACAGAGAAGTTTCTAGTAAATTGATTAATAATAATAACATACAATTAACTCAATAACTCGTACTGCTGTAAGAATGCGCCGGGAAAGATCCCTTTATTTACGCTTCCAACCCCTATTTGCACTTTTGTTTTTATATTTTGCAATCTGGCAGGCTTATTACAAAAACATTTTAAATCATTCTGGAAAGATTTCGGTACCGTAAACCGGGGCGAGTCTACCCATTTTAGTTTTATTTAATTTTCACTATTTTAAATTGCAAATAAAAAAAATTTACCGACGGAGGACTTAGTTCAGACTCTATGGAAGATGGCGCTGTAGTAGTTTGATCCGTTTTTATTTATTTGGTGTCTTTTTAACCGACCTGTTCAAACGTCTTTTGAGAGATTTGTATTGAAAATCAGCAAACTTTTAGTTGGTGCTCCGTAAGTATATTATTATTATTACTATTTTCACTTTGGTNCAAAAGTTTGACCACTTGCAAGTTGACAAACTGAAAAAATGGGTAGACTCTCCCCGGTTTACGGTACGTGTAAGTTCATTGGAATTCTCTACCCACTTTATAGACAACGTTTTGTGTTTTGTTTTGTATTTTTCTGTTTTTATGCTTCATATATTTTATGTCGTATATTTTTTACTTAATGTGATCTATTTTCGTTTAAATTTTTTTGAGTGCTCCTCACAATATTGTATTGATATATTTTGCTTTGGCTATATTAATGCAATATTAGAAAGCAGTCCTTTTTGGTTATAGAATAGTGGGAGCTGATGACGAGAGTACATCTTTTCATTATTTTGTTTTCCAGCTTTTTAATATTTTTTTTTTAATAATTCTGAAAAATATTTTATTTTAATAGTTTTTCCTCTTCTCATTAATTTTTATTATATTATTTTGATGTTTTTCTCTGTTTTATATATATATATATATGAACAAAATGTGATTTTTACATAAACTAAGATGTAATCTTAATAATGCGAATGTTTAATTTAATGTGTGGCAATTTATTTGCGCAGATGATATTTTATGTTATGAAATCGAATTGAAAAATACTTTCAATGAAATAGTACGTTTTTTTTTCGATGGATGTAAATTCCTAAGTACCAAAGCCTTTTTTAGATTAGCGGCTGCCTTCAATCTAATTTCACCGTTGTTGTTGTTGTTGCTACTTATCTCCATAAGTTTGACGTTGTCAGACCAGATCCATAAATTCTCCGACGAGTAAAAAGTCGGAGACAAGGAGAGGAGAAGTGTTAAATTCTGCCCGAAGAAGACCCAAGCAGCTTGAAATATGTTCAGCTGAAGCCTGATGTCAGTGGCATTTTGGGCAAAGATGGTAGAATTTTATATCCTCAGAAAAAGTAAGACATTTTAGATGTCCACTGGCAAGGCGTGAAAAGCAAGTATTGGTTTTTCTGTCGCATGGAAGAATCAACCACTGTCCCGACTTACTAGCCCTATACCAATCACGAGCGGGGGGCACCGGCCAAAGCCTTCTACTTAAGTTTTTCATCTGAGAAAAAAGTTCTAGGTTTGGTAAGTTTATCAGATGCAGAAGTTGGCAGGCTGCAACCGTTCTTTGCTAGACTGTCTGCCTTCTCGTTACCAAATAGATCCACATGGGATGGGATCAACTGGAAATGAATATCATGTTGAAGTGAGATGCACTTCAACTTGTGAAGGATAGATATATTTGTCTTATCACCAACATAGATCCAATTATTAAGATGTTCCATTGAACTTCGGTTATCAGTCAGAATCCAGAGATTTCCACAATAATTTTCCCTCAAAATGGCTTCAAGTCCCGCATCCACTGCTAGTAATTCACTTCAAAAAATGGAACAGAAGTCTGGGTTCCGTTGACTAAAAGTAAAAGTTTTGTGAGGTGTTTCAATATAAATGCCACTACCTGCAAGATAGTCAGTTTTACGGCCATTGGTATGCAATGTCACTTGAAGGGATATTATTTATGATTTCCAAGGCTAGTTGTCTAAGATGTTCCGGTAAAGTATTCTTTTTATTGATGGAGGAAGAACCCTGGAAAAATCTTCTGTTGGCGTCATGCAGAAATGAAGGGAATATGGTTCAAAATTTTTAGCAATAGCATTTTGAGACGAAGCCTGACTAAAAGGGCTCTGGTGGTTTTCCCAATTACAAAGTTACTTTGAGGTATTGTTTTGAGAGCCATAACTGTAAAGTTTGCTAAAGTATTTTGTAAGGCTGGCCAGTAAGGCTGGCTCTATGAAATATTTCATCGATAAGTCAGGAAAACGTTTGAAATTTTGAGTCCCTTAATGTTATTTTCCTATTTTATGTATTTCAAGGTATTTCTCAAACAAATTAAGAGAAAAAAAATTTTGTTCACAAATGTTTAACTCATTTATGCTAAAAAAAGGAATATAATAATTTTAAAAATATTTTTCATTTGAAGTTAAAGAGCGATGAGACTATCTTAAATCGTAAGAATAAATCATTTTGTGGTATTTCAGCGCTCATAATTTAGATTGTTTTAAATGTGAGCAATCTGTGCCACAAAAAATGCATGCATTAAAATAAGAATAATTTAATTTGAATTTCAATGTTAATTAAAAAATAAGAATTTTGATGCTAAGTTAAAGGTATTATATTTTATCGTTTTTTACATAGTTTAGTAATAGTCAATATTTTTTATTATAGAAACCACTTTTAAACTTCCGGAATATTCTGAAAAATTAAATTCAAGTATTTGTTGAGTCCAAAAGATGATATTTTACGATTTCATCAAGAACAATGGTAAGTTCTATAATTTTGTATACTAAATATTTTAGCAAAATATTTCTTATATAAAATTTTAGCATATAATTACTAAATAATTTACTAAATATTTAAATTTACTAAATAATTTAGAAAAAGGTCCAGAGCAGTTTTTTCAGGCTTGCAATTATATTAACGGCAATATTGAACTTAAGCAAGTTACAGAAACAGGTTCTCCAACCAGTAATTTATTTACTAATTTCGACACAAATAAAATTCACAATTTTTAAGAAATGATAAAAGTATTTTTTTTATTGCATTCAGTTAATTATTTCAAGTTAAGGGCAGATCGATATAGATAAAAAAATTTTGAAACTGCAAAAAAACCTGAATTTTTCAATGCTCCTGGGTTTCGGTCTTTGATAATGCAATTGAGGGCTTTATGGTTTTTATATTTTAAATTTTCATTTCATTTTCTATTGCTGTTTTTATGTTTATATGGTGAGGCTGGACATTTTTCAGGGAACAGAAGCAAAGTTTATTGTGTTATAATTAAGCTAGTCTTCTTTTTATACAAGCATACATTAAAATTGCTTTACTTTGCTCAGTGTTTTTCGAATCGCGTCTTTGAGGCTTCTAAAATGTTTGCTTGTTAAATTTTTCATGTTAATAGATCTCTTCAAAATTGCTGAATTTTCTGAAGCATAACAGCAGCTGACGAAAATCTGGGCAACACAAAACAATATTACTATACTAAATAAGAAATAACACGAATTGACTTAAGCGAAAGAGGCTCAGAGAGTCCATACGCAAGACGGCAAGCACCACCTTACGAATGCAACCCCACAACATCACGAGGACCAAGGAACAGACCACGAAGCCCGCTACCCAGAGGGTGGCCGTACCAATGACCTGATGACCATTCAATACGGGCCAAAATCAGATATGCCGCCCCCTTTCGGGTAATGCTAACAGCCATGCTAACAGTAGTCGGGTAATGCTAACAGTATTTCTCGGGTAATGCTAACAGTCATGCATTTTAATTTATTGTATGTAAAACATCCTTATTTTGTTCTAAAATGTTAAGTACTTTATCACAAATGTTAATTAATATAGAAATTGATTTCAATAATGCTGATCACCAACAAATATTTCATTTGGCGATAAAACAAATTTTTGTGTTCTTGAAAATGAAAGACTTTTTGAGGGTTATTATCTCACAAGGAAAAGTTAGGGTTTAAAGTTTATATTTTTAAATAATAAATTTTTTTT